CCTCCGCTTGCTCAACGCGTTCTCCGCGCCCCAGGCTTCCCCCCGCAGAAAATAGTCCGTGCGGTGAACATGCCATCCTGTCCGTCCGGCGACCTATATATATATATATATTATATAATTCATGGTATTTACATTAATATATATATATATATATATGTTCTCTCAGGGTCTGCCCCGGAATTTTGGTGTTGCCCCACTCAAGGCTCACGCCTGGCCGCGCTCAAGCGAAGCTCAATGCCAAGGCCGGCAATCCTCAACTCCAACGTGCGGACCAAATGCGAGCTTGTTGCAGTGGGCCGGAACCTGGATTGGCCAAAACAAGTCTCCTTTTTTCTGTTTTCCACTAACATGGTCCAAAACCAAGTGATTAAAGTGCAGGAACTCAGGGGGTGAGTGTATTTAGGTGTTTCTCAAATGGGTCCCCAAAAAGGATTCCAGCGATGCGAGCAAACGCTCGCAAACCAGGGACCTCGGGAGGGAAACGTGGCACGTGGCTTTGGTTTGCTTTCCCGGTATCCATTTTACGATCCAAAGCGGGTCCATCTTGAGAAATCCCCATGTTTCCATAAGAAATAAACTAGAAGGCCGGGATGGGCTTCTAGCGCATGACCGGATATTTAAACATGACATTGCAAAATGAACAGAGGCGTGGGCCACGGAATCTGAACAAACTGAAGTCACATGTTGCGATAAGCATTCTCTTGTACTGAGACGCTAAACTTTCATTTCTCTGTTCAACGTCTCGACGAACCCTCTGCGGCAAGGTCCTAAGACAAGCCACGACAAGGTCCGAGCGAGCAAGCACAAGAAGGGAGACAAGTGAGACAATAGGGAGACCATGGTCCGAGTCAGTTAAACGCAAGCAGAGCAGGTGGGGAGACAAGTGGGGAGACAAGCTGGGAGACAGGTGGGAGACACCCGGAAGACAAAAGGGCCAAGCACGGAGACAAGTGGGGAGCGAGTGGGGAGGCAAGCCGCAAGCACAAGCAGGGCAACAAGTGAAAAAACAAACCCTGACAAGGTGCAAACAAAAAAACGTGGCATCCAGTGACCAAGCGGCGTCACCAAGCACAAGCAAGACACGTGCAGAGACAAGTGCGGAGACAACAGGGGTAGCAGGAGCAAACCCCCTAACTACGGGGTACCAACGCAAAAGTACCCTGCGATCCTTGGCCACCATCGAAACACTGCAGTCAATACAACCGCCATTGCTTCCGCAGCTTTGACAAGTTGCGACGCTTCAAAAAACAGCCAAGTTTTGGGCGGATGGGACACGAGCTGGACGGCACAAGAGCCACTCCATGAACCACTGGCTCTTGGGGGGGCTCCTATTGGAGCTCCCAAAACCTAAAATGGTTGGGTTCCTTTTCGCTTCTGTTTCAAATACCAACCGAAAGGGGGCTCACAATTTTGAGAACCCCACTTCTAACCTTAAGATTTTGACGCACGGTTCCCTTGGTTGCCTTTCCAGGCCGAATTCTACGAGATGAGCGAAAGAAACACTCCGCTCGTTTTGGTCTGTCGATTTGTACGAAATCCAACCTGCAGCGCTTTAGCTCAAGTGGGCAACATTTGGTCTGAATGCACCTAGTGATGCCTCAATCAACTTTGCAAGCTGATATCTTTGACTCTCGGCTTTTTTTTGCCGGGCTATATCGGCCCCACAAGCTTCTGTCCTTTGCCGGCCGCAGCTGCAGCATTGTGTGTGAAGAGGTTGTGAATGGGAGATGATTGGTGAGGTGAACGGATGGGAAGCGGTATGAAGAAGTGACCCATCCTCCTCGCAACCATTCATCTCTTTCTCCCTTCCTCATTGCCTCGTCTCTAGTCAATACTTCCTACATTCAAGAATCCCCGACACGAAGGCATGAGAGTAAGGGAATAAGGGAATGGTGGTTGGGTCTCATGTCACGTCCACCGCTGGGTGCAAGCAGCAGGCAACAGTTCAAAAAAGCGGCAGGCCACGCTCGTGCAGCCGACGGCGCCAGCCGTTTCCACCGGATTCAAGGTCGACTTCCAAAGGGCTCTGGAGGGCGGGCCAGCGTCTCGCATGAAGGGCTTTGCCCGGGAAAGGGAAACGGGCATGCGGATCGTTGCGGATCTTACAGTCAAGCTGCAAACTGCGAGTATGCTTCTGCCAGGTCTCAAGCAATGAGCGCTCTCAAGCAATCAGGGACTTGTAACTTCAGCCTCACCCTTTCCGGTGCGAGTGCGTGGCAAGCAAGCGCATTTATGCGCGCGCTTGGACGCACGCCACGCCACACGCGATGCTTCGTGCTGCCATGGAGTTGGGGCAGGGGGCCCGGGTAGCCTGGCTTGAAATCCGGGAGAGGTGTGACTGAGGCATGTGGCTTGGCAAAGTGTTTGGCATAGCCAACCTCAGAGTGAGAGCGTGACTCAGCATGCGCCTCAACACTCTAGTCATGATTCTTCAACGTTTGGCATGGCTTACGCCGCATCGCCGTATGAAAACATGGCGTGCTTGTGCATTGTCACATAGCTGCACGCAGTGAGCAAACGGGGCAGGAAGGTGCAAAGGCGGCTTACATCCCCAAGCAGCGGCAGCTTCAGTGTGGCCTCCGTAAGTGGCTTAGCCATGAGCAGCGATCAAAAGGACAAAATGTCAAAATTTGGGACGAGAAGCCGCGCAGCTTCCGCAAGCTTCCGCGGCATGTTGCTGCTGGGCTTGTTGGAGTCAATCTCAAATCGTGTGTGGCACTACGATCAAGCTTTGCTTACGCGCGCCGACTTAAGTGAAAGCATTGCTTCCCGCAGAATCAAGTGAAACGCTGCCTGCTGCGGACCTCGCCGGGGTCTGTCACCGCCTTGTAACGGCCTCCGTGCTTCACCTGCCTGAAGAACCTTGACTTGTGTAACAAGAGGGTTTCCGACGATTTTTGGCGGTTCTTGGGCGTGCTCTGAAGGAGCTGGATTTGTGTCTGTGCAAGAATGTCATTGGGCTGGGCCACTTGCAGGAACAAGGATCACCTGGAAATGCTCAGTTTGTATAACACTCGTCGCCTGGCTCGATGAGATCCGGGAGGGGTGTGACTGAGGCAGGCGGCTCGGCAAAGTGCCTGACATAGCCTGCCTCAGAGTGGGAAAGCTGGACTCAGCATGCGCCTCACCACGCTAGTTGTTGGCCCGCCTTATGCCACGTCGCTGTTTAATCAAAAGGAGTGTTTGCACATTGCCGGGAAGGTGGCAAAGGGCACTTGCATCCCAAAGAAGCGGAAGCTTCCCTGTGGCTTAGACATGTGTAACTCGTGGCCAATATGTTTTTGACGGAGTCCGTGTTTAGATCGACTTTCCCATATTGGCATTGTTTCTGGCCGGTGGCAGCATTTGGCCGTGCGCAGCCCGTATTGCTTCAACAAAATGTTGACAAAAGCCCGTAAATGCCCGTATGGTCATTTGTTGTGGGCCCAGCCGTATGGACAGAACAAACCGCACATGTGGGCTTGCAGGACGCATCGGCTTTGACAAAGCCAACCTCAGAGTGGGAAGCGCTTGCGCCACCATTGGCGACTCCACACATGGGCACTCGTTGGAGCGCCTTACGCCAAGTTGTCTTTAGCACACGGAGCGCGCACGCATTGCCGCCTGGACACCCCGAAAGTCACCTGCGTCGCAGTGGCGAAGCAAAAACACACGGTCGCATCATCCTGCAAGGTGAGACGACTTTTGCGCAGCCGAACATACGCCGTGTCTGGGTGCCCGACTACAGATGCCAGCGCCAAGGCTCAGAGTTGGTTTCGGACCCAGCGGGGATTTCCGCTAAGGCTCAAGCGCAAAAGTTGGCCCTAGGGCCGCCCGCGCATCAGCTTGGAGTTCCCTCCAGACATATGGGACCATGCCAAAGCTGTCCTTAACTTCATGTTGCGGACAGACCTGCTGTTCTTCTGAGCCTTTGCTTGCTCAGGCCAGAAACACACTGAGGGCAGGAGGGGCCCCTGATGATGGACACAGGGAGCAAACAAGTGTGCCTGAAACATCGAGTGATCGGGCTGGGCACTGCAAATTTGGAGTTGTTCTTGGTCCCTGGAACGCTTTGGGCGCAAATCTGCAACAAGTTTCCCGACTTGGACAGCAGGGTTCGGGGTTCCGAACGCTGAGTGGCAGTTGCCCGGCCAGAGCAATGCAAATCTGTCGTGCTAGTTGTCTTACAGCACGCATCGCGAGCGTGTGGCACAAGCATATATAGACGCTCCAATCATGTCCTTTGCGCATTATTGGTTGTCTGACGCCGCCGGTTGGCCGGCGTTCAGCCGAGATTTGGCGAGAACAGCCGCGATGTGTCGCTGTTTCGCGCCAAACTACATAGTCTCCTTTGGATGCCATTGGAGTCTGGGCGCCTTATATTGCGCGCTTGTGTAAACGTACTTTTCGTGCACTTGCGCATGCTGTAGCTTGACTACCCAATGTGGTGCGAGCGCGCAGCGCAAGCGTACCTTACACCGTGCCCGCAAACGCCGACATTGCAAACATGACGGCTGGCGCGTCAGCCTCGGGCCAACCTCAGGTGAAAAGCATTTGAGTCACCATTGGCGTGTCCGCGCTCACCATGATGATTGAACATTGGCGCGCCTTGCGCCAGGATGCCTTCGCGCAGGCGCAAGGCTCTGCCCTCTGGTTGCAGGCCCTCAAGTCACTTGCGCCGCAGTGGCAACAGCGCACCTCGCCATGGCGCATCACTCTGCCAGGTGAGATGACTTGTGAGCAGGGCGTCCGAACGCCCCCAAGAATGCCAAGAATGCAAAAGTTCGCATGAGCAGCAAGCTACACTCGAGACGCAGCTCTAAAACCATGATTCTTCGAAGTTGGCGACCCTGCCAGGCTGCCTTTTGCGCACTGCCGCGCTGGCGCCAACAGTCTGGCACGGAGTCGCGAAAGTCAAAGACGTCAGTTCCAGCCATGGCAGTCTCAGCGTGGCCTGCGCCACCGCTCAGTTTTGGATCCAGATGTGCGGCAGGGCAAGCTACACCTTAGAGAGCTCTACCTCACATCACGCGCTCGAGCACACTTGCCGCGCGCTGCAGCTGCGCAGACGTTTTCTCAGCCTTCGCACGCGAGCTTTGCTTTATATTCACGAAGTGAATGGACATTGAGGGGCTTCGAGGGCTTCCGCAAAGCTTCGACGCCCGCTTCTGCGAAGTGGCGCGACGCCAACTTCGGCTCTGCGATGGCAGGAAGTGTCTCTCGCGCAGCGCTTTTGCCCTATGCGTTCGGCGAGTAGTTCGAACTACTAGCAAGCCACACGAGAAGCGCAGCCCACGCTTCTCCACGCGGCTTCCACTTGCCCCTTCACTCGATTTCACTCGCATGGCCGAAGCAACCTGGGCCCTTGGCGGAGTGGCAGCACCACCAATTTTACCTTCTACACCAGCGCACGCAGCGCTGATCAATTTCAAGAGTAAGGACAAGCACCGACAACCGCGACATGTCCACCTGGTTGGGATGGATCCGACAAGGTCCTCGGCGCAAGCTCCGTCCAGGTTCCTGACCTTGGCCTCAACCATTGAGCCGGACAACGCCTCGCAAGCCACGTTCAAGTCCAATTCTCACAAGCTTTGGGGCCGGTGCGCGCAAACGCGATAAATACCCGCAAAACGAGCCCAAATACCCGCAAAACGAGCGCAAATCCAAAATATGTAACAATTAGCATTTTGCAAGAAACCCGTGTTCATGAAACGAGCACTTTTTGGATCATTGGGCAAAAATAGTTGGCCCGAGCATTCTTCTTTCGTGACACAAATTTATGTAACAATGGAAGGTCCAGGCACAATCTTTACCACTCATGGCAGATTCCATTGTCTGGTCATGAGTGAAAACACGTTTTTGGTCCAAATGGACCACACAAAAAAAGAAACGTGACGTGCTCGGTCAGCGCTAGGCTTGAGGGCCGGCAGGAAGGAGAGCAGGGCACGTAACTCTTCGAACAAGTCAAACTGCAAAATGCCAATCGGAGTTTCGGAACCCGGCTATACCTAGCCCTCAATGAATCACTCATGTAAATTGTGGCGATTGCCGTTTTCTGAAGCCAAGCGTTTCCGCTTGTAACCTCCGCATCTTTGCAATGTGGACGGTCCACGACGCAAATAATTTTGCCTTACGCATCACACGCGCAAGCGCTGCACAAGTGATGCTTGGCGCTGCCGAAAGCCAAACCATGGGCCAGGGAGGGCCCAGGCTCCCAACCGCAGCGCTAGCATTTGGCCTTCAACGCTCAACTTGAAATCTGCCTGACCTCTCCAAACATGCGTTCCCACATGAAGCTTTTACAAAAACCATGAAACTCAGCTGCCTGGCTTACTTGCGTATCCGCGTCTAATCAAGTGTTTTTGAAGTTGGCGGGCCTGCTGGCGAGCCGCTCTGCCAGGTGTGATGGTATAGGGCTGTCGAAAACAAGGACTCTAAAGGCAGCGAGGGCCACGCAAATCGCAAACTGCGTTTAGGTGCCTCCAGGAACACCACAAACGCACAGCCTGCTAAAGGCGATTTCCGTGGCCTCACCCTCAAATGTCCTAAGAAGAGTTTGTGAGCATTTTTCGGACATGTGTAGCATTTAATTACTCTCGGCACGGAGTTTCGCCGTCGACGAGACAAAGCTAAGTCAAAGGCAGCGAGGGCGAGGGCCACGCAAATTGCACACTGTGTTTAGGCGCATCCAGGAACACCACAGCCTGCAAAAGCGACTTACATGTCGGAAACATGCACACCAACACCTTCTAGGGCATGTGACGGGAACCGCAATGTCGCAGCGTCTGTGAGTGGAATCTAATTGCTCTTGGTGGCCCCAGGAATCTCTAAGTCGATCTGTTTGGCAGCTTAATTGCTTGCGACCTGCAGCGGTCTCGCGCTCGAAGCAGTAAACATAAGCTCACAAAGCCAAGTCAAAGGCAACGGGGGCCACGCAAATTGCGGTGCATCGAGGAACACCACAAACGGATCTCACAAATGTTGTGTTCGTGTATTTTTCGGACATGTATGCAATTTCATTACTCTCGGTGGCTCCACGAATCTCTAAGTCAATCTGTTTGGCAGCTGAATTGCTTGATTTGCGCCGCGACCTGCATCGGTGCCAAAGGCAGCCCGCCTCGGCGTGCTTGTGGGCGCTGCTGGTGAACATCAACACATGGGCCACGAGCGACTAGTAAGGTCTATTCGGAGCTTTCCAAGTTCGTTTTTTGGGGGGCCCAATTCGTAGTCAAGCAGTCCGGGCAGGTTGGACACCTTTTGGCGCACAGAGTGTCTAACAATGCCAAACATATTTAAGAACCACCTGGCCAGGGCCAGCAGCAGGCTATAGCTGCCTGTAGAGCTAACCAAAGCCGCCGTGAGCCTGAATCTCTGACTACTTCCCAGGGATTCCAAGTACCTCCTGGGTCTAAGTACCTCCTTAGCAGGTACTTGGACCCTCCGGGCTTACTGCCCAGTGCTTCGCGCGACTTGACCGACTCGTTGGAGTGTCTATGTGAGATACAAGCGTCTGCCCGGCCGCAGTTGGGGCAGGCTTTATTTAAGCAGGCATCGCTCCCCGCAGGTGCGCTCGGCAATTCAAGCTCCAAGCGCGTCAGGCAGCGGTTGGGGCCTAAGTCGTTTCCGTCAAGTAATTGTTGCAAGGCGCAACGCAAGGCGCTGAACAAAGGCCCAGCCGCGCAACAAGTAATTTGCTCTCTATAGACTAGTCCCCACAGCAAGTCGCTAAGGCTGGAAATCTGGGATCAAGGATGTCCCTCCGACCATCGCAGTCAGTAGTGGACCCGCAAAGGGGGTGAACAGCATCAAGAGGGGTCCTTGTCTAGCCCGTCTTGACGAAAGCAATTTGGTAAAAAACAAAGAACTTACACCGCCGAAAACAGCTTAAGCCAAACCTCACAGAGCATAGCGTGTTGCGGCGCCCTAACCAACCTTTGGGAGTGAAAACAAGGCGGAAAGTTGACGGAGGGTTCCAGGAAGTTTCAGGCCCGTTTGCAGACGCTTGGCTCGAGCCCCCGCGACCTCGCAGCAAACTGAAGCTGACATTCACAAGGCCCTACAGCGAGGCATTGCCAGCGTCACTTTCCACACCCTCAGCATTACCTATTATTTTGTCTTGTTCTTGTCCGAGAAACATCTGCCCTCTGTCTTTCCGCAAAGCATCTCTGATGCTTGGGTTCTGCTTTAGGTTCCTTTAGAATCCCGGGAGCGATGAACACTTTGGCGACGGACATGCTTGCATGTTCGGCAGTGTTGCTATCTAGATGGCGCACTTGAGTCAATTTAGTATGTACGATAACTTAGGAAAGAAGTAGTCCTCTAACTTAACTTACCAGTCATGCTAGTTCGCTATGTAGAACGGCGGAGTTTACTATGTGGGCCTCGTTTGCTATGTAGATAGTATATATTCGCCAAGCACATGGCGTGTTTATTGCGGACTTATAAATGCACTTAGATGTGCACCAAGAAGTGTAGCGAGGTTATCTAAGGTAGTTGGCAGAGCTAGTTAAATTCGCCTGGGCATGCTTAGAAACTTCGCTGGGGCGAACTTAATATCTTGGCCAAGGCATACTTAGCAAGTGCGCCATGCGTGTTACTGGTGCAACGCAGCTGGCGCAAAACACTGGGGAAAACATTGTGTTCGTGCTTTTTCCCTGTGTAGAGTCCATTTTTGAAGGTGTCTGCTTGTGCCGTGCGACAGTATCTTTGTGTGTTCTCAAACACACGCGCCCCCCGGCTGATATATCCAAATGTATATAAGCACAAACAGCTTAAACAGCTTCGGAGGGGTTATGTTGTAACCCTTTGCCCTGAAACGTGGAGGGGCGGCAGTATGTTTCGTATAAGGGTTGTGACCTATCTAAAAAAAACAAAAACATGTCACGGGTTGCCCGCGTGTATGTTGTGTTGAGGTTCCCATGCGAGCTTGTATGTCCTGCAGAAAAATGAGCAACAACTTGGACAAATGTGCGGTTTCTTGATCAGCCAGCGCTGGTTCTCAAAAAATCAGGGATCGATCAAACCCATTCCTCCATTTGATGAAGTTCGCTGATAAGAAAAGTATAATGTTGACCCCGGATTAATAAACCTATGTTTATTAATATGGGGGTGTTCCCCTCAAAAAGTGATGATTCCCACTACACACCAGAATCGGACACCCCCATATTAATAAACAGGGGTTCTGCTTAATCCGGGGTCAACATTAAAAGAAGAAAACAACACATATTTCCAGTAGTGAAATCGACTCCCTTCAAAACCAACAGGCGCCAACAAGAGACATTGAGGAAATGGACGCATTGAGACTCCATGGACCCCGATGGGATGCTGGGGAGTCACTGGCGAAATCAAGGGGATCCCGGGACGGGGTTTTGAGGTATGGATGATGGTTGCGAGGCGGTATATTACCTTTAGGTCGTAAATTCACCTCTGTACCTATGAGGGCAGCTCGTGCCTGGAAAACAAGCGAACATCTAGCATCTCGCATTCAGGAGACTTCAAGGGTGCGGAATGATGGACACCTTTCACAAATGTGGGCGTCTCCCAATGCCCCACTTCCCTGTGAATGGGAACCTCCTGGAAAGACTAAAAGGAACATGGATCGAGTGGTTAGCATCGGCGAAAGGGGATTCCTGGGATCCCCTTCTGGCAATGGCTGTGGCTTTCCTGGATACGACTGACGTGCAGGCCCTAGCTCCTTACAAAGTTTTTCAGCCACGAGCTCGTTCAGAGACGCCACGGTCCGACAAGAGATGGCTGTGGGTCAAAAATAAGTGCCCAACATGGAACCCTGGTAATTAAATGGAAAAGTGGACTAAAACCTGCGGGCCATATCCTGGTGGCTTAATTTTGACCCATACCCAGTGAACATCCGATTCAATCCCCACTAAAATAGGTTCTAAAATGGGTGGTGAATTCACCTACCAAAATGGGATCCCAAAACGGTTTTGACAACCACGGCCAAATAGATCTGGGTGATCTGCAACCGAACCGTTGAACCACAAGTGACCGTCGAACGTGTAACTTGGGTTGTTTTTACTGGCCAAATGCGTGCGACCGGATATGTCATTTTTTCTTCTCATCGCCAAGGCTGCCAGGACTGCCCCCAGCGTTGCCTCAGCGAGCGAAGCGTTCAGCGAGCGAGCCCTCCTCCCCCCTCGGAAAAGCCGTGGATGGACCTGTCAGCAATACGGAGGAAGGGGTTTGCGCTGCCCCAAAAAGGGTACCCTCGGAAAAGCCAACAAAAAAAAGCAAAAACAAACATAAAACACGCCCCAATATTTGTTTCAAGGCATACTGAAGCCTGGCGGACGGTAAGAGATAACCTAATGTGCCATGCGGTGGCGATCTGATCCGCACGACTGGTGGCATAGGAAGCGAGCCGGAAACAAGAGCTGACTGCCGCAACGCCCTTAAACGCCATCCAGTTGCCGGGATGCGGCTTATCCAAGGTGTGATGAAACAGAACACCAACCTCATGGCCAGAGCACAACAATATATCATCGCAGCTCTGAAGCGGCTTTTCACTCTTTCATCGATCGTTTTGGTCGACAGTTGCGCAGAACTAGTTTCTGGATGGAACAGACCTTGAGAAACCATGGATCCTCGCGGTAAGGGGACATTCAACGACGTCTGGGGGTGATCGCGTCACGCCGCCCATCGAAGTGCTGAGAACAACTTCGGTACCAGACGCTCTTGCGCGGGTCATTTGGAGCGTTCCGCCAAAATGCGCCCAGTCCGCCCGAGGCAAACGGCAGGGGGCGGGTGGGAATGGCATGAGCTGGTAAGTCTTTCTGCTCACATGTCGGAAAACACAAGCAGCGATTCCATCCACGGCCAAATTTACAAGAAGGACACCGTGATAATGCGTCATCCCTTTTGCCAGACCTGCAAGACCAATTCAACTTAACCCAAGAGAAGATCTTGCAGTATAGACAACCACGTGGTGCAAGGGGCATTTCAAATCACACCTCGCATGCCTGAACCCGTTAGGCACTTGTTTCTGTATTTTACCGTTTCGGGCAAAAAACACATTTCGCCCAACAACGGTCAAGCTGACCTTTGGTATTCACGGTTATACAGGTGTATACAGGCTTGCCTACTCCCACAAAAAACGGATAGTGGAAGCACCTACTAACCTACTAAAAGCGCGGGTTGGGGTGGGAGCTCGCTTTGCGCGTCGTGTTGTTTCGTCCGAAGCGAAGTCCTCAAGCGAAGTTTTACGCATTTGGCGGCTTGACCTAAGGTGGACATTCAAGGCACGCCCGGCGGACCTGACTGTATTGCGACCAGACATCGAACAGTTTGGCTGCTGGTTCCTTTCCAGCCACAAGATGCTTTTGACCTCCAGCTTGTCGGCTGTGCAAAGGGGCGAAAGCAGTAGAACAGGCTTGGGCGCACTTCAAAGCCACATTTAGTCATGATTACGCCCCCAAATCTGGGATACACAGAAAATAGGATCCGAGTCTCTTTGATGCTTTGTCTACCAAACAAATCAAACGAGTTTTGGAGACAAATCTTCGCCCAGCTTTCAAACCCCAGTGCCCAATGCTCACTGTTTAAAGGGAGGCTTACTGAGGCCAGCGGCGCTCCGGGCGGTGGCCCGGGTGGGGGGTGCGGCCTCTTGCGCTGCTCCTGACATGGCGCTTCTCCACGAAACCGGGCCTCTGAGTTGCTTCCCCTGAGCCAAGGGTCTAACCTGACTTCCTCAGTGGATTGGTCAGAAACAGTCTGACCTTTTCATTTGTCACCACCCATGACCCTTTAAAAATGGGTCCATGACCCCGCTGTTTTGAGTAATGACCCCGTTGTGTAAGGGTCAGGGAGACTAAAGGTAAAACGATGTTCCTAGAAAGGAGTCAGTAAGTAAGCTTCTGTTAACGGGAAAAACATGTCTGTGTTCACATGGTTTAAGGTCTTTTGTCCAAGTCTCGTCAAGGGTCCCACAGCAAAGGCCCCCCATAGCCCAATAGGGGCTAGCTACTTGCTACTAGTGAAGCCGACTTTTGGGGCTAATCGATATCCTTTTAGGTGATTGGGGGTTTCCGCGTGCAACTGTTCGAGTCTTTGGTGGGTGCGGGCAAGTTTTGTTCCGCAGCCACCGACCTTTGAAACTTCACAAGGTGCGCAATCATACTTAACATGGACCAATAAACAAGCATATGATACATCAAACCAAATTAAGAATAAATCGGTTCCTTAAAACGTAGACCCCTGCTAAACTGGGCCGCTCAAGCCAGCCAACGGTTTCGGCTTGCTCGGGGAACAACACTTTGTTACGACCGGGTCTTCCAAGCGTCGTACAACGGGCCAACTGATTGGCATGGGGCTTGGGGTAGAGGCGAAACTAAGTCATAACCGTGGTATGAACATGGTAGTAATTATTCAGTCCCTTGTATTACCCGAGGAGCCGACGGAACCGCCGGCGCTGTCGGCGCGCTGACCACTACTGGGTTGTACATGTGGGTGCTTGTCCAAAAAGAATCGCTTTATTGAAATGAGCTTTTCTAGGTTCCCTTCAAATACCAACAAAAAAGGGGCCCAAACCCTTGTGACGAAACTGTTTATGAAGTCCGCCGACCCCATGCCTGGTCCAGAATGGACCATGCTTTCGGCATGGGGGCGGTGTGTTCTGTGTTGCCTTTGTTGATATGCTTTCTATAAGTTTAATGTGAATATGATTATGTATATATATATATATGTCCCTTGGGGCGGCTCTTGGGGCTGGTTTCTACGTCGGCTGGATTTCTGGATTTCTGGATTTCTGGATCTCTGAATCTCTGGATCTCTGGATCTCTGGATTCCTAGATTTCCCCCCCCCCTCCCCCCCCCCCTTCCGTTGTCTTCCGTGGTCTTCCGCAATCTTCCGTAGTCTTCTTCTCCTAGTCTTCCGGTAATGTTTCGGGACCAAACAACGCGCGTTAGGACTCAATCTCGTGTCCTGTGCTTTCGGGCTTCCTCCCTTAGGCTTCGGGTAGTCTTCCCCCACCCCTCCGCACCCCCCCCCTGTGACTGTCTATGTCTGTCTACGTATCTGCGTCTGTCTTCGTGTCTGCGAAGACCCCCCTGCCCCTGCGTGTCTGTCTGTGTCTCTTTGTGTCTGCCTGGGTCTGTCTGCGTCTGTCTTTGTGTCCGCAAAGACCCCCTGCGTGTCTGTCTCTGTCTCTTTGTGTCTGTCTGTGTCTGTCTACGTATCTGCGTCCGTCTTCGTGTCCCCCCCCCCCCTGCGTGTCTGTGTGTGTGTGTGTGTCTATTTGTCTCTGTCTGGCTCTGTCTGTGTCTGTCTACGCATCTGCGTCTGTCTTCGTGTCCGCGAAGACCCTCCCCCTCGCTGCGTGTCTGTCTGCGTGTCTTTGTGTCTGTCTGTGTCTGTCTACGTCTCTGCGTCTGTCTTCGTGTCCGCGAACGGGTCTGTGCACGCGTGCTTTCTCTCGTCCCGGGCCGAAATTCTAAGGTGTGTGGGGGCGGCGGAACCAGGCCGCAGGCCATTAAATAATTTGGGGGCCCTGTTGGCCCCTGACATGGTGAAATTGGACGCGGGCGGACAGATGAAACACACAAACTTACCCCTTAAAACTCCAAGCCCTGGGGAAGTTAGTCTTTTACAGACATATAGCCCATGTTACCCCTAAAAAGCTGAAAAGTTGTGTTTTTAAGAGGTACGCAAAAGGAACCATCATTTTCTTGACCCCACCCCACTTTTTTCACCCCCCCTCCTTTCTTTTGAACCCCCCCGCCCTTGGGGGGTCAAAAAAAAGAAGAGGAGCCTGAAACACACACACACAAATTGAAATTTGAACCTGAAGCTAAGTAAACAAGCAGCTGCTTGAGAAATGGCGCAGGCGGGGGCTTATCGTGATGATTCTTCACGCACTACTCCGAGTAAGTCCGAGCTTGCAGGGTTCACAAGCTATTGCCAGCCTCAAGAACACCCACCCTGCCCATAGGAACTCGCACGCAATATCGAAACTGCTCCTACCCGACCTTTTTCGTACAGAATGTGCGCCCATGACGCAAACTCATCGTGTTTCACTGTCTTTTGTTCCCAAGGTGCTAGGAACATGGCCTTGTGTCTGCGTTTCACAGACTGCGTTCTTGTCAAAATGCAAACAATAACACCATATATATATATATATGTATATATTTATACAATATGTGTAGATTGTAATACACACCTATTCACATACGTCTACCTATACCTATACACACTTACACATGCTTATTGTGTTGTCTCCCATGCATTGGTTTCGCGTGGCTTGCACCTTAAGCGAAGGAGCGAACCACGAGCCGCAGTGGCAGACCTCGCGCCCTCTCCTCGACACCGCTCCACGGCCGCTTCCGAGCACCTGCCGGTGAAGCCTTGCCTAGACCCAGACACCGAAGCGCAACGAATCAAAAACGAAAACTCCGAAACCTGCCCTCCCATCTCGCACATTGGCCCCTGCGCAGGAGAACGCAAAAGATCTTTTGCACAAGATCAACCTGGAGTCTCCATGACCCTTTAAAAAAGGGATCATTACCCAAAATAAAGGGGTCATGGACCCATTTTTAAAGGGTCAGAAGGAGACTCCAGGAAGTCTCGTTTGGGAGGCCTGGGCCTCTTGTTGGCTCAAAGGCTTCGCGCCCTCTCCGACGACGCGTCAACGAAGCAAGCTCGCCGGCCAGCACGAACACTTCTGCAGCGCCGCTTAGGGAAACGCGCGTGCAGCGTTGCTTGGTGAAACGCAGGCCAAAGGGTTTCGGCGCAGGGTGCACCAAGCCGAACTGTGAAACACGATTCTTATGAATCACGGCGCTGACGATCAAGCAACTTTTTCATGGAAACTTGTTTAGAGTCTCAACAGTAAAACCAACATCCCTCAAGTGTCGTGAACAATGTTCGAAACCGATGTTGACACCTTGAACTATCGAGATAAACTCGCGGTGGTTTTCCTACCCAGACAAGAAGGCACCATCGTTTCGCCTTTGTTCAAATTCTGCCATTTCTGCCGCGCCCATACTCAGAACCAGAGGGAAACCCATCCGCTGGCCAGAAGGAAAACCATCCGCTGGTGTCTTGGCGGGTGAGAAAACCTCCGGCGACCTCCGGCGACCTCCCCGTCTCTCCACGTCTCCCCGTCTCGCCTTTGGATCCGTTCCATAGGCCCACCCCGTCCCGCGCGGAGGCGCGGGAAGAGGCGAGCGCCGGCTGAGCCAAGAGCTCCTACCAGAGAGGTTCGAAGAAGGGTACCAACTTTTTGTCTGTCTATGGTTTAGTAAGGGGAAGCCTACTTATAAGCAAAAAAAGGCTTGCCCTGCATTTTTTCCTTTGTCTCACCCACTCGGACACACATGTCTCCCACCTTGCTTCTTGCTTTTTGGTCTTAGGGACCCGAAAAGTGTGCCCTCTCTGTCTTTTGTGCTGGTCACTGGCCACGTAAGATGAGCCTGTGTAGATGCAGGTTAAGGGAGAATCCCAACCATCAACGGACGCCTTCGCCGCCTCTTCAAACCTTTCCATGGTTCTGGGAATACCATTCTAGTACCAGGTTCTGGGCAAATCAGGTCGCATTCATTTGCCCAGATCAAAGAACTCATGAAAACGGGTGGGAGGACCTTGCTTGCTTGCTTGCTTGCTTGCTTGCTTGCTTGCTTGCTTGCTTGCTTTGCAAAACGGGCCGACATTTTGAGAAACCCACACACCATTTGCTGAAGTCCCCTGGAACAAATGGCATATGTCCAGAATCGTCTTTGGCAAATTCTTGAAGATACGCAACCATTGCAGGCAAGATGGCCCTCGTAGATGAGTAAACCACCTGGCAAACCAGGGCCATCTATTCTTTTGCCAAAACAACCAAAAAGGACACCTAGGCTTGCAGGATGCTGGAAGCCGCAAATTCCGAGCTCGAGCTCCAATTATGGAGCTCCTTTGCTCTGTTGTGTTCTTTTTCTCAGAAAACTTGATGCTCGATGTGTTTATTCGTTTTAATTATATATATATATGATTTTTTTTGAGGTTTTTGTGCTTGGCTCGTTTGCTCGTTTCGTGAAACTCAAAGGACACCAAATTGGCTCCTGGAAGGCGGCTTCTGCGTCAGCGTTCTCCATGGCCTTGCCGGCCCGCGTCACCTGGCACCGCGACACCGCTGCAGGAATTTTCAACAGGGACCCGTGGACTTCAAAATTCTCTGATTTTCCCACAACTTGATTTGGTTTCATACCCCAAGCCCCATCCGAATGGTTTAAGCCCTCGTAGCACAGATTATAGCAGCGCAAAAACAAACAAGATTTGCTGAGGCAAGCTGAAGAAACAATGCAAAAGGCAAAATGCAAAAAAAAAAAAAAAAAAAAAAAAAAAACGGTAGGCTAAGCTTCGCAATAATAGTTTTTCCTCACCCATACTTCAATTCGGAAAATATTTTGAGAACAATCCTCGAACAGAAAGGGACGCGGACGAGGGGCTACAGCTCAGACAACCAAGAGAGCCAAATGAACCATGTCTGGTTTCCGATTCTGGTGGTCAACTGGGATTCGCTGGGAAATCGAGTTCCACGTGCCTGTGTTTCCTTAAAACCCAAAGAATCGTTCAAATTCGATGCTTGACAGCTTCCCATTCTGAGAAATCAATTTTCCTCCAAGCCTCCAGCTTACTCAAGTCCCGTTTTTTGCGATACTTCTTCATTTGACCACCCCCAAACTCCCTAAAGCTCGCGCACGTGCTCAGAGACCCGGATTCGTTCGTTCGAAGTCAAGTTGGAGGACCGAGGACTTCCTGCGCCTCTTTCAACAGAGACGGGGCCGACGGGTCCTACGGCCCGCCCCGGCGCCCCGGGCTCCGCGCTCCGCCTCAGCCACGATGTCGCGGAAGCCGTCGGCCCTGGCCGCGCGAAACGGCCCCAACGGCCACTTCGGCCCACTTCGCGCCCACTTCGCGCGGACGCGAAAGGAAAAATATCGCCCGTCGCGACCACCGGGCCATAGTGTGTATGTATTGGTTCTTTACTGCCAGCTACAAAAGCAAGCAATGACTCCGGCCCAGGGTGAATCTTAAAATGAACAATGTCAACACAGATCCCAGCTACCAAATGCCCCAAGTACCTGCGCTCGTCATTTTTGGGAGGGTTGGCCAATTCCAAAGCTTCCCAACCACTACAAAAGGACCATTTGCATGAGTTTGTCTTCTTTCATGTAGGAATCGGGCCCTGCAATGGGTATTGCTATGGTGTGATTCTTCAAAACAAACCATCATTCAATGACATGTTCCTGGAGTCTCCTTCTGACCCTTAAAAGATGGTTGGGCATGTACCCGAAAATATGGGGGTCATGGACCCATGTTCCAAGGGTCAGAAGGAGACTCCAGGTTCACTTCAGAACCCCACAGCAACTTCTGGCGGCCCGTCGATGGCGCCTCACGGCGCGCGCCACGTTCTCCCCAGTGAAGGGCTCCTCGATGAGCATGAAGACCTGGCGAGTCCGCCAAAAGTCCACAGCTTCCCAAGCAAAGGCAGCTGCAACCAGAATAACACGGCGGGAATGAACCGGAAGGGGATTCCCTGAAAGGAAACGATAGGGGATGGTTTTCTTGGAGTCATTCCCTCATTCGAGAAAGGCAAGCCACAAAAAGTAGGAAAGGGGAGGCCAGGCGAAACTTCACGGGCAGCAACCCGAAAAGTTACTAGCGAAACGCCAAAACGCCAATCGGAAGCACTACGTCTCAAATATATTCATATATTCCCAGTGGATAGGCGTATTGGTTTCTACAGGGTGAGAAACCTGTGAAGATTCCCTACAAAACGGACATTTGTGAATCACTGGGATGGGCTCACAGGCGTTTGATCAGATACGCATTCATAGATCTTAAATCGAAACCCCGACTTCTGCAGCCCTCAAAAGCCCCAGCCGCTCACATCCGCTTTAAGGCCGCCAAATCACGGGGTACCCATGGCGGATCTCCCCACCACGCCTCGCTCTCTGCGGGGTTCCAGTGGTCGGCCTTGGGGCAGCTCGCCACCGCGCGCCGCAGCTCCTCCGCTGGCTGTCCGCCGTCAGATCCGCGAGAAGCGACTCACTTTTGGTGGGGTTGCATGGGATTTCCAGCCACTAAACACTCATCCGAACTGCCTGCTGCGATTCCTGCGCGACTGACAGGCTACGCCCCTGGAACCAAATGTCCAACCAAACCATTGGCTGGTTCAGTCCCTGTTTCTGTGTTTCTCGCGTACATTGGGACTCACACAGGTCAGTTTTTGGTTTTTTGAAAAATCATCTGGACAATCTCTGGTAGTTGTTTCTATTTCAGTTTGCTTTTTCCTTAGGTGTCCGGCCTAACAAGGGTTGCTGCCGAATTGGGCTTTCTGCCGGAAGAGTAAAAGCCGGAAAACCCAGCCATTCGCCGGTTTTGCATTTTATTTTTGCAAGTTCTACTGCAACCGCAAAACCTCAAAGAAGTGGTCTTTTCAGAAAACCCAAGAGCAAGCCACCCATTCTTGGGCCTCCGGTTTTGACACACACACACACGCACACACCCAGGTCTCAAAGCAAGGGACTCGTCCTGCTGCGATTGGAGGCCCCTCACTGAGACGATGTGGCGCTGCGAGAGCGGCAGCGAGCCGTAGCCGTAGCCTGCGCGATCCAACGCAGGATCGTCACGGCCAAAGACTCGTTGCTGGTTGACCCGGAAACTGAGAAGGTCTCCCGCCAATTGGAGCCTGGAACCAGACCTTTTGGTTAAGATAGCAATTGTCACGGAACCTGGATTGGATCGTTTGGGGGGGAAATAAACGGTTACCCTCCCAGTTGTCATGGAACCTGACCTTTTGGGGTGCGGGTCCTGGTTTGGATCCTTGTCCTTTTCAAGGCACCGCTCGGAGCCGAAAAGCCGAAAGCCAAGTGAGCCACAATCAAAGCCTGGTCTTCGTGTGGTCTGCAAGCTCATGTTTAAAAATGAGATTGGGCGGCTGGGATTCCCTTACCAACCTGCATTGGCACGGGGTTCAAGTATAAGGCCAAGTGAGTGCTACATAAAAGGTCCGGAAGAAGCTGAACTTTAATGATGCGAACTGGGACAACTGGGTGCGGAATGAGGGACCGGCAAAAAACAACTGGGAACCCTACCCCGAATAAGCGTGTTGTGTGTGTGTGTGTGTGATTTTGAGGGTACAGGTTCGCACGGGTTGGCTTCAAGGGAAACCAAAAGAAGACTTGCCCCAGGTCAAGTCACGGTTCTGCGCTTCCGACGGAGGTGACAAAGCTAGAAGGGTGTATCTTTTCTAGGGGACCCACCAAAAAGGCGTTTGTTTTGTTGGAGTCCCTTTACAGCAGAAAGGGGTACCTCAAGCCCTCAAGCTTATGGCCTTCCCAAACGGGATCCTCAACGGAGCTGCAAGTGACTGGTGTCCAGAAACTTTGCTACCAGCCCGTGGGCTTCTCAAAATAGGTCCTCCAGTAGAGAGGTTAGAATATGGGTACCCTTTTTTTTTCTGTAGTCTCTTTAAGTGGGGGAACCCTCCCCCAAAAAAGTGTAAAACTACTGGGGGACCTAGTCAAAAAAGAACCCGCAATAATTCTTGGTAGCCCTTGGGATTCCCTTGAAAAACACCTTCAAAAAGACTGCCTGGTCCATCAAACTGCTGAACATGGGGAATTGCGCCATAAGTTTCGGGCAGCTCTCCCTCCCATTTATAAGGGTGGTTTGAGGGTCCAAGTGGGGGTTAATCAAAAGGTACAAAAGGCGTGAGGTTTGACCACGCGGGAAAGTTCTGGTCATTTTGGGGGCCCCCATTTGCTTTAGTCCGCAAGAAAACACAGAATATGTTCCAGTGGTGATAGATTCTCTTTCAAACCGGGGGAAAGCAAAAGAAACAACACGGGTTGATCAAAAGGTCCGTAAAACATGGGACCATTCTTGGAAAACCCACGAACCAAAGATTCGACCATTCCTGCTCAACTAGGTCCTCCAGTAAAGAGGTTAGAATAAGGGTACCTTTTTTCCGTAGTCTAGTTTAGTAGGGGAACCCTCCCCCAAACAAAAATCGGAGAAAGGGGCACCTAGCTGGGGGGCCTAGTCAAAATAGAACCCGCAATAATTCTTGGTAGCCGCTGAACATGGGGGATCGCGCCATAATTTTCGGGCAGCTCTCCCATAAGGGTGGTTTGAGGGTCCAAGTGGGGGTTCATCAAAAGATACAAGACTCGGTTGCTCTCTGCTCTGCTAACAGTGACTCACTTTTAGCGGTGTTTAACACGGAAAACCCCTGAGTTGGCAAAAAGTTAAAGTCCGACATCCAAGGCAAATGCGCCAAAGAAAAGGCGGGAGAGTTGACCTGGGACAGTCAACGGGATTTTTTCTTTCTGGGGGGCCGCGGGCCTTGAGACTCCAGTGGCTTCAAGGCTTCTCGCTGCCTCGGCGGAGGCGCGAACAATGGATGCGGGGTGTACAACTTTTGTTTGGGGGAAAACCCCTTGGGTGTTGTTCAAAGCCGAAGACCACCATTTTGTGAGACAAACTGAGTTGCTTACCATGAGTTTGGGTACCTGGAGTCTGCATGTCCCTTAAAATTAGCCTAAATGAGGGGGGGTAACCATTTCTCAAAGGGTGGAGACTCCAGGTGTGTCTGCTTTTGAGAGAACCCTCATTTGGTTGTTTCAAAGGGGAACCAAAGGAGGATCCAACCCATCAATTTTGCGGGTCCCGTTTTGGAGATAAGCCCTTCCTGAAAGCTAACTCGAGCGAGCGGCCTTGTCAAAAGCAACTACTGCTTTGAAGTGGAAAACCTTATCTTTTGACACTCCTGCCTAAGCACATTGGATGCAAGCAGCTTACGCGATTCCCCATCCAAATCTAAGCCAGAAGCAAAGCCACAGGTGGTTGAAACTCGGCGGCTCTCTCTGCATCTTCCCCACAACACTGACATGGAGTGTCTCCACAGCTGCCACTCTCTGGGCTGGCTTTTTCTTCACACCACGAGGGTGCAAGCTCGCGGGCTTATTCTGCACGCCCCGCGCCTTGCCATTCTTGGCCGCAGGACGCCGCACCACCATTGTCCACTACCTATAACCTAGCGAGCCGCAAGCCCATCCATACATATGCATAACATACACGCGAATATAATAAATATGTGGGTGTGGCAATGCATGTCCAATGTGCGACAAAGACAGCGGTGAAGGTGAAAGGGACTGCCGCACGAAGTGACAGGATTTTCGCCGCACTAAGCGACAGGATTTTCGCCGCACTAAGCGACCGCCTGACCATCGGCTTTTGCCAAACTAAACTCCTCCATTCGCTTTAGTAAGTTCAGGGGGACAAGCAACTACCATGAAGCAAATGAAGAAAAAGTAAATGTGCCATCATGCCCCAGATTCAGTAAAGCGCCAAAATGTGAAGCGATGTCACAAAAGGTGCCAAACCATCATTCGCGTAATTCACCAACCTGAATTCACACATCCTTCATGAACCTTCAGCATGAGTGAGCTCGCCTTATTGCTTGGCTCGCTAAAAAACTGTTCAACGCAAGTTGCAGCGGCTCTTGGGAACCGGCGGGAACCCAACCAATATGGCTGTGGCTCAAAATTAAACAGAAGGGGTTACGCGGGTTTTGGTCCATGTTTCCACTTACCAGGGTTCCATTTTGGTACCGGTTTTTTGAGCCACAGCCATATGTCAACATGTTGGGAAGTTGTGTCCTTTCTTCTCTGAAGTACCATGCAACACCATGAGCAAGAACGGAACCGCATGAACTGTTTTTGTCTGTTTTTCCAGAAACCACCGTGAAACACCCAAATTCTGCTTTAGTTACAACTGTGCCCCTTGAATCCGATGGGTCGATCATGGCCACTGCTACCAAAGTGGCTAACTCTCACCCAATTTCGGAACATAATGCGCGTGACTTTCTATTGAAGGCGGGTCACCGGGTTGTAAACAAGGAGAGGGCCTCTTGCTGAACAACAACATTGGCTCTACCAACGTGGCCGCGAAGGTTTATATAGGCCGTACTTTTTCTCCGTGCAACCAGAAAGGTGCCGACACCGCCGAGTCAAAACAAGACTGCTGGATCATGCTGGAAAAGAAATGCAATTTCCCATGTTTCAAGGAAAGCAACGCCCCAAAAAGCACCAGCTTTACAAGGCTCTAGAAATCCTCCAAAGGAAAAAACACACACCCCAACTGGAACTTGAAGAACCCCTGCGCCTAACTTGAGCCTAACCCCGGGCCCCCGTGTTCGGATCGAGGCGCATCCACTGCAGAAAGCTCCGGAAGAGCTCCGGGGGCCACTGGAACGCCTCTCTCTCCGGGCGGGCGGGTGGGTGGGCGCCGGGGGCACAAAATGCCAAGATTCTCCAGTTGCAACCGGCCCGTTGGCTCGAACAACCACCAATTAGTAGTTGATGGTTTGGAGTTCAAGTGGTGGTTTGGAGCTTCAAGGTGGTTTGGAGGTCTGGAGGTTGGCGTTCCATGTACCCACGAGAACCAGGGGGTTGAACCCCTATAACTGGACAAAATACCCGAGATGGCCCGACATAACAAGAGTGAATCTGCCAACAGGTGCAACCCCAGCGAGCCGACCCACCCGGACAACTTGTGTTTGTTCAACCAACCACGCAAACCTCCGTTTTCATGGGTGAAAAGGTCCTGGTTGTAAGGTCCCTGCTTGTTGTTGTGCCTGAAGACAAACACAGAAACACATTGGTTCGAGCCCCTCCGCGCCTCTTCTGGTGACTCGCCATCAGCCGAAAGCAGCTGAGGCCTTTGTTGTGAAGCGACCGGAAAGGGCGCACGACCCCTGGAAAGGCTGACTGCTTACTGCCCGCAAAGCAACCTCAACGTTTGCAGAACCACAATCAAAGGCATGTCAAATCTACTTAACCTCAAATGCAACGTATGCCACTTGTCGCCATGGATCTTATCATGGCTCGGAGCTGACGATCATTGATTTTCTTCGGGCCTTTGCTATGGAAACCACCCCCCCCCGAATTGGGTGTGTCTCCCTCCTTACGCATAAGGGTCAGCTGACATGACACGAGACATCTGCAAAAGACACCTCAACAGCTTTGGGCCACCCCTCCCTGGAATGAGGTTTGGGCCCCGTAGTATTCTATGGGTCGAATAATTTGCCATTCATTGAACCAATCTCCTCAGAACCCGCCCTTGGCTTTGCGAAAATCCTTCTCTCAGGAGAAGGATCTCTGAACAGAATAGGGCAGCATAACCTGGCAATAACCTGATTTTCCTTGTACCGAGAACACAGTTGAACATGTATTCAAACGACACTCTCTTAGCTCTTGGACGTCCGCCAGGACCCGCTGCCCATACATCGGGCGGTGGATGGTTAGTGAAGCGTAGCCAAGGGTAGCCTCTGCTCGTTGTTTGTTGGAAAACCTCCATGTGCTTTAATTACCTGGGAACAATAAAATAATACAAGGGTTTTTTTGCTGCCCAACAAGTTCATGTTGGTGGTATATCAACCCATACCTCTCAAAAACCGCATGAACCCGCCCTATCCTCACTCCAACACTTGTACCTGGCTGGCCGAATCAGGCCGAAGGCCGAGGCCTGGAAATCTTCTGGTTGGATAGCCCATTCGACCAAAACAACATCGACTTAGTCTTCTACTCGGACCTTCGACATGCAGATCTAAAAATTGGATAGTGCAACTTGTGCGATTTCCCTTTTTCAAAGGGTAGTGTGAGGGTCCAGGTAGTGATTGGGTCCCTGTTTAAGGTCCTTCCACACTTTTCCTGTCGGGGATTTGGGGCCTGTGGCTTCCTACCTGAACTTAGTGTTTCGTTGCAGCTTCATAATATTATATGTCGAATAAACCCGACTCATCTCTCCAGTCAAGCCGGAACATGGCCAGGGCTCGCCAAGGCTTCAGGGTCCATTCAAGCGACATCAACTCAAAGAAGTCCTCAAAAAGGACACCTCCCCCAAAAACAAATTCATGTTTCATAACGATCTCACATGATGAGAGTTAGGCCCAGCTATAGAATGTCTATTTTATGGTTTGCTTCACTTTGAGTCGGTAAAATGTGAAATGTATCCTAAGTCTACCCCAGTTTCCAGGTTTTCCGAGAAAAAATACCCGAGCTCAAAAGAAATGAGGGGTCCGCAACTCTGCCAGCCCCAGGTTTCCAGGGCTCCGCGCTCGCCCCAGAGGCCCTCGGGCCGCTGGTCCCGCGCTTCCAGGACTCAGGGAAGGAGCGGGAGGAATGCCTTGAAATCCCCGGGCTTGCCATGAAATGACTTGATTCCTCTTAAAAAATCCGTGGGTTTCCAAAAAAACCCTTGATTTTTCTTTGGCCTGGGCAAACAAATATATAGGTGCAGTCCCCCAAAACGGGCCGGTGCAATCTTGGATCCAGCCCACAAATGCGAACGTCTCCATGAATAACTTTACTGGTAGATGTGGGCTGGGAATAAGCTCAAGCAAGTGGTTCCTTTGGACCAGTCACGCTAGCAAAAAGGCTTCGATGAAGCCTGAGTGGCTTGAGGGCAGAACCCGAGGACTAAGCCCAAGCATGACCTTCGGAGCAGGCTCACGCAAGTTGGTTGCGGTCGGTCGGTCGGTCTGTCGGTCGGTCGGTCGGCTGGTTGTGGTTGATTTGTTGGTTGTGGTTGGTTGGTTGTGGTTGGTTGGTTGTGGTTTGTTGTGGTTGGTTGGTAGTGGCTGGTTGGTTGTGGTTGGTTGTGGTTGGTTGTGGTTGGTTGTGGGTGGTTGTGGTTGGTTGGTTGTGGTTTGTTGGTGGTGGTTGGTGTTTTGGTTGGTTGGTTGGTTGGCTGGCTGGCTGGCTGGCTGGCTGGCTGGCTGGTTCGCTGGCTGGCTGGCTGGCTGGCTGGCTGGTTGGCTGGCTGGCTGGCTGGTTGGCTGGCTGGTTGGTTGGTTGGTTGGTTGGTGTTGGTTGGTTGTTGTTGGTTGGTTGTTGCTGGTTGGTTGTGGTTGGTTGTTGTTGGTTGGCTGGTCGCGGTCCCCCCCCCCCACCCCACCCGCCCCCGACAAACACCTCCTCTCTCCAAAAGCACAAACAAACGCGTACGGTTGTCAAGCCGCAGGCATATATGCGCATAGCTGGTCGCAAGGAATCGATGATGTGGGTTTCTTCCCCTGAACAAGTCCCTTACCCTTGAAAAGGTCGATGGGGGGAAACGGTGGGGTCCGAAAGCTCACAAGGGGGTGCCTTAAGAATAGGAATCGGAAGCCCCTAAACAAGTTCAAGCCTCCTTATGGTGTTCCTTTAAAACCACTCCAACACGAAATAAAAGCACACGCATGGCCACGCTCAAACCATGGCTTACTCCGCAAAAGGTTCAGGGCGCCTTTTAAGGCCACGATGCCATGGTCAGAGGCCTGATTTGGCCACGTTTGGGGCAACCTGTGTTGAGGTTCTAAAAGAAAACACAACCATGACACACACACACACACACACTCACACACACACACAACTGGGGTGATCATTCTTTCCAAACGAGCAAAAGCTGGGTCACTGACCACCTTTGGCATTAATGGAAAAACACATTTGCAAACTAAGGAACGATTTCGTCACACCAAAGACCCGCCATGATCGAAGCTTCTGACCGGAGTTGGTTCTATCTGATGTCAACCCCAAGATCTTGGCTCGAAGGCCACATTTGATCCTTCAAAGGAAAACAATTGCTGGGAACCGCGGACTGTTCCAGAAAGCAGGGTCTGGGTCACCCTTGGTATACTCTTAGTCTGGGAGCAACCTCGACTTTGAAGGGGACAGTGACCGACGTTCGGACCCTATGCACAGACCGCATTCGCACTGCAAAAGCTTTCCTTTGACATGGGTTCCTCTGCACAGAGTAGTTATGCCACCACAGAAAGCGTGAACATTTCCAAGCAAACCATGTGAGCAGAAACCAAATCCATTGACTTTGGGTTCGAGGATGCTTACAAAGGTCGTAGAACCCAAAAGGACTTCGGGGTGGCACCTTCTTCCCACCGGTCCCATCCCTTCGCATCCATCCGGCCAAGGGATCGGCCGTACCAAAGAGCGTCATCCGCCGTCAGATATCGCCTGAACTCGAACTTGGTGCGGAAAGTTCACAAGATCCCAGTGATTCCATCTACCTGTAGTATGCGGAACCACCCCGTAGAAGTAAAGCTTAACCTAAATAACCAGCTGGAGTCTCCATGACCCTCCAAAAGTGGTTGGTCATTACCCAGGAGACTCCAGGTACCTGTAGGATGGTAACCGAGAACCAGCTTTTAAAGGAAAAGGAACCAACCTTTCACCAAAGGGACCACCCTGCAAAACCAGGTTGGTTACTGGAGTAGCTGGGATCCACTCGGCATGACATAGCAAGCGCCCCAAGAGCGTGGCACATTTGGGGAATCCGTTTACTACTTTTGAGCACCCCCAAAATACCAATGTCCCTTTACTTTGAGGAAAAGCCTGGCATGTTTCAGGTGCTGTTTCCAAAATGGATCCTTGCTGTCCCTTCTGGACGTGCCATAATTACTTTCAAACGCTGTTCCAGCCATGTTTTTTTAGGCAACAACAAACATGGCAAATTTCGGTCCCGGCAACCGCCCGCCCGTCAGTCCATCGAACCCATTTGTTCAAGACACCACCAAATTGCCAAGATGAAGCTTGAACACTCCTGGGCGGCTCAGGTAGGTGTCAAACATCAAATGTGTCAGTCACTTGCATGAACCTTTAACATAAGGAACTTTGCGCAGATTCCATGTAAATTCAATACCTCAATGAATTATCAATTTCAATTCAACATGAAGCTGATAACTATTAACAAGTGGGGCTCATGACTGCTTCCATTGAAATACACTACCACAACACACATGGTAACTCCAGTGTCGTGGGGGGTGTACCTGGAGTCACCTTCTGACAGCTTCCGATGAGATCCCTCCGGCAGCCTCTCGTGGATCAGCGCCGGCAAGAGACCCGTCTCCTGGCGAAAGCGAAAGTCTGCGTCCAGTCGGAAAAAAGGCCAAGCTGGTCTCAAGTACCCACCAAAATGGCAATCCTTTTGGTTCCCCTAAGCCAGCCAAACAGAAAAAAACAACTAAAACAAGACAGAGCCAGCGGTTTTTCAACTTATCTAGCAGTGCGACATGGATCTTTGAGTTGGCAGTGGCTGTTTTCTTCAATGGCCCAATTGGCACAAGGCTCGAAACTTGGTCCCTGGCAAATGACAACAAGAAGCAAACCCCCCACTGCTTGAACAATCGTTTCGGCGGTCGATAGCATCAGGCACCCATATTGCAACATTATCTGTCACTCACTTCCAGAGGACCGAGTCAAAGGTTCACCTTGGTCATGGACCAACCACACCAAAAAGGTCAACGTCGATCAGGGCCTTTGGAAGGTTCGAATGACCGCTTTCCGCGCTTCGGGGGCCCAATGAAAGGCTGAACACCAACCAACCGATCGCCATCCAAAGGCGCCAGACCGCTGAAAACAGCCCAGGCCCCAAGGCTTTGGAGTTTCTAAGGCACGCGGCTTGCCATCCCCCGTAAGCGGCCACACAAAGGCACGCTGCTTGCAACAGCCAGGAGAAACTCGGGAGAGCCAACAAAACAGACTTGGCTTGAGATACCTAGCGGCTGTTGAACGTGGCAACTCGACTCGTGGGCGACTCATTCCACAAGAAAGATACTTATTCCACTCCTTGGTCATGTTCCAAGGAAGCGACGAAACATAGCAAAACAGGGTGCCGCTGTAGCCGGGGAAAAATAAGGCAAGCCCCACAAGCTTGAAACAAAAAAGTAGTGTCCAAGGCATGGAATTGGATATACAACCTCTAGGTAGCTTGGGGTTGGGGCTGGTGGAAACCATCTCAGGTACAGCAAGAGGTGAACCTGGGCGAGTTCGCCCCTTTCGAGGGAGAGTCGCTTTCTCTGAGCTGATTCCCCTGAAGCTTTCGAAAGTAAATGTTCTTTCTGGCCTTTGATCTATTCGTTGTTCCATTGAATTGCTTATCTCTTCTTGGCTGGAATTAGGACCCCAGCAACAAGCTATATTCTTTGCCTGGTTAGTGGAAAACAAAGAAAACCCCAAAGAAGCAAAAAAACAACCTCATTCTTGAGACGTCTCAATCTCTGTTTTTATGTCTTTCGGAGTCTCTCGCTCTGGCCCCACGGCCAGCTCCGACAGCCGGGCCTGCAGAAAGCCCACCGCGAGCATGGCCTCGACTGATCTCACAGCCAGACTGTCTCCATGACCCAAGGGCGCGTCCAGTCAAAATAGGGGATCATGACCCAATTTTGATCAGGGTGACTGCAGGTACAACTTTAAGGCCCTTTGAGTACCCTTCCAACCAGGCGCACCCACCACACCATGTTTGCATCAGGGGCCCTAGCCCCAAAAACACCCCAACTGCTAGATACGGGTCCTGTTTGGCTTTCTTTTGCGCGTTTCTACCCCTCCGGCCACTCAATCCGGCCCAAAGCCTGTGAAGCCCGTACTCCTTCGGGAGGCTTCCCTTCGCGGGCGGGCTGGCCTTTTCGCCGGGAAGCGCCAGGCCCCGCATCAGGCGCAGGCACTGCGCCTTGTCCTTCGCGAGGGAGATGCAACAGATGCACGGCCAGGCCCCAGCTCCGATCTGGGCCTCATTCTTCTCCTCATTCCACTTTCGCTGCTCGCCTTCCGACGTAGAATTCCCAAGAGACTGGATGTGGCTCCTTTTTTTGGAGTTGGTGCCCATTGTTTGGTGCCATTGAAGGGAACCAGAAAGGAAACCCAGCCAGTTTTGCGGTCCGATTCCTCAAAAAAAGAGGAAAAACACACCCGGCTGTAGAACTGGCTGGTCCGATCGGAGGGCTTTGGAAGGCTACCAACCGGTGTGCCCCTGTGGAATCATGTGCTGGAAATTACCCCTTAGAATTCTGATTGTCCACAGAGTTGATCAGCAAATACTAGACATCCTGAACCTTCCGGGAGGATGCCTTATTTCAGGGTGCCGCCAACTGTGTCAAAACCTACGATCGTCTTGGGGATGATTTGAAAACGTAGCAAGCATGGAATCAAATTGACCGGTCCGACCACTGTCGGCACAGCCACAGTGTTGACAACATCTTGGGGGAGAAAATGCTGCCCAAGCTCAGGCTACAAACAGGTGTCGAAGCTCAAATCTCGGGACGCCTATGCGGGGTTCAACGGGGAAGTTGCGTTGCCCTTGATCTTGGTTTGCGACAACAACTTTGACCTGATGTGTGTCTTCATGGCTTCTGGGGGTATCGTGTTTTTTTCCTCAGTATCGGATTACAATGGTTTTGGCCTGCAAAGCAAGTTAAGGGACGGCCCCTTACATAACGAAAAGGCGCGGGGTCGTGTTTTCAGCCCAAATGGTAGACCCCCTTCTTGGATGGCATAGGTGCGTGTTTTCTTGAGGCTGGGGAACTAGCCCTCATATGGTTGGTTTCAGAGAACTTCCAAAAGCACAGCCGAACCCTTCTTTTTGTGGCTCCGATTCCTTTGTTGACACCAACGCATTGCGAGAAACACCCATACCATGTCCTTCCCCAGAGGGTCCCTTGGTACCTTCTAAGGAGGTACTTAGACCCCTTTTTACCACCCGAAGCCGTCACTACAAGGTACTTGGATCCTCTGCGTTCCAGGACTCCTAGTCGTGCGGTTCTATAGGCTCCTACCGTGGATGGACAACATCCTTTTCGTACCAGTGGGGATTGGTGGTGTACTCCATCATTTTTTGGGGGTCCATCCATTTTCGTGGCGCCGATCGGCATAGATTTCGTCCACCCAAAGTAGCTCCTTTTGTTGCCGGCAGCCAAAGGGAAACCCTGCACCAATCAAATCAGATGACGATGCGCAGGGGGCCTCATCCTTTACCCCCCCAAAAAACACACACACACACACACACACACACACACACACACACACACACACACACACACACACACACACACACACACACACACACACACACACACACACACACACACACACACACACACACACACACACACACACACACCAACCACAGAGACCATTAAAACACCACCGCCAAAAATAGAGACCCTAACAATAAAAATACAAGAGAGACAACGCAGAGACAGCGCCGGGGGGTCAGAGCACAAAGACAGCTCCCGAAAACCGAAAACAGGACACTGAGCTTCCCTGCCCAGCCGTAGGAGCTCAATCCCCCGCTTTTGGCGCTATGGATCGCCTGGCGGCGCTGTCACCGGGCCGATGAGTCTCCGGCCGGTTGGCTGGCCAGAGGGTCCCAAAGAAACCTTCTAAGGAGGTACTTGGACCCCTTTTTACCCCCCAGAAGCCATCCTCAGAAGGTACCAAGGGACCCTCCGGGCTGGCAGACCCCATAGATCCCAAGAATCCGACCGGCGCCCTCCAAAACCCTGCGATCCAGGGTCCTTTTTGGCTAAAGGGTGGCAAGCCTTTGGTCACCCACTGACCCAGCGGAGAAAGAAGGTCCCCAACACCGTGGGAAATTGGGGCGACCCCATGGTTTGAGAGTCGGAAGGCTCCAGATTCAAGGGCCATGGAAAGGCTATCTGGGGACCTCTTTTTTTGGAGTTGGAATCCTTTCTGTCGGTGGTGGTAAAGCGAAACCAAAGGGAACCCAAGGGGAAACCAAAGGGAAACCAAAGGTAAACCAAAGGGAAACCAAGGGAGAGCCAAAGGAAAACCAAAGGGAAAACACATTTTTCCAGGGGCCCTAATGGCAATAGTTTTTCATTAAGCTGCAGTGGCTCCCCCGGCTGCGAATCGAACTTTGACAAGACAGGAGTAGGGTCCCTGCGAATGGACCAATCTTCCAGGCTGGGCTGAGATGCTTGTTGCATGCTTTGAAACCGCGGCATGAGGGAAAAGACCACTACATGTCCTCATATAGAAAAGCATAGCCCATGTGCGTGTGTAAGGCTTTCTTGTCCACTAGGGGTCTATTGCCACAGACGATCAACCATGGACATGGCCGCTGTACAGGTCAAAGCTATCCATGTATACATATATGTAGAAACATACAAATATATTCATGGGTTTATCGCAAATTCAGGCAGCCCTCCAAATGTGCGGTGTGTGTATGTATGTATGCATGCATGTATGATGTCGGTATGTAGGTATGTAGGTATGTAGGTATGTAGGTATGTAGGTATGTGGGTATGTAGGTATGTATGTAGATAGGTAGGTATGTAGGTATGTAGGTATGTAGGTAGGTAGGTATGTAGGTAGGTAGGTATGTAGGTATGTAGCTTGGTGGTAGGTAGGTAGGTAGGTAGGTAGGTAGGTAGGTAGGTAGGTAGGTAGGTAGGTAGGTAGGTAGGTAGGTAGGTAGGTAGGTAGGTAGGTAGGTAGGTAGGTAGGTAGGTAGGTAGGTAGGTAGGTAGGTAGGTAGGTAGGGTAGGTAGGTAGGTAGGTATGTAGGTATGTAGGTATGTAGGTATGTAGGTATGTAGGTATGTAGGTATGTAGGTATGTAGGTACGTACGTACGTACGTACGTATGTATGTATGTACGTACGTATGCATGTATGTGCGCATGTACGTATGTACGTACGTACGTACGTATGTGCGTACGTATGCATTTATGTACGTATGTAACGTATGTACGTACGTACGTTTGTATGTATGTACGTACGTATGCATGTATGTGCGCATGTACGCATGTACGTATGTACGTATGTACGTATATGTATGTATGTACGTACGTATGCATGCATGTGCGCATGTACGTATGTACGTACGTACGAACGTACGTATGTATGTATTGCTTGGCATTCGCAATCACTTTGGACATGGGACTATGACATGGGATTGCACGATGAACATCGTGCATTTCCGTCCAGCCTTGGATTTGGCCCACTGCCTCAGCGGCGAGCCGAAGTAAACAAATTACTTCGGGACTGATCGCATTTTGATCGCATTTGCAAACGAGTGAGGAAAGCAACGGGCATACGGTCCTTGTCATAGGTGTCCTTCTGGAAATAGCTGGTGCTCCTTAAACAATTCATTTTGGCCATTCAAAGCATTCTGTTTTCCGTCAGAACGCAAAATATGACTTTATCCTTGTTGGGGGGAATGTTCTGGTGGAGCATACGTATATATATATATATGTATATACATATATATGTGTATATACATATATATGTATATATTATAAGAACCCTGGTTTGTCCGCCAAACCACGGGGCAACACGCAGCTTTCCCCTTTGTTTTTTGCGCGCACATTACAGGAAGGTTGACATGTCTCACCGCAGCGAATTTGCCTGCGAGAAAGTCTAAACCCCCATTTCACCAAGCAGCAAGTTTGAAGTTTGTGGCACGGGAATTTTTGTTAGATTGGTAAACTCCCCCCCAAAAAAAGAAGAAGAAACACAAAGCAACAGAAGGTGTCCTTTTGGTTTCCCTTTCAAAAAAAACAACAACAACAAAACGAGCACCCGCGAAAACGACACACCAGAATCCTGGTCGATGTCGCTTGGGGGTGATCTAACTTCAGGGCTAAAGCTCCTTGGTTGATGCCATCCGGGGTCAAGCCTTGGGTTCCCCGTTTTTTGGAATGCATCCAAAAGGGTGGCCAAAAGAAAAACGGCTGGGATGTCGGTTTTACCCTACCCCCAGGTGGTTTACTTTTGTTTTACCCTGCCCCCAGGTGGCTTGGTTTGGTGGTTGGCCCCAGTTGGTTTGGCTTGGTTTGGCTGTTTGTGGGTGACCCGTGCAACGGACTCCTGTGATGGGGTTTTTCCCGTCGTCTGACCGTCCTGTGGCGATCGGAATCCGCTTAGAACCCACGTCCAGATCCTAAACAAATGACACACCCACACAGAGCCGTGGGGAATAACCAGTTCTATGATACAACTGAAAGGGCTACCCAAAGACTAAATTGTTCATAAAACAAAATATTCCCTGGTATCACAGAAGCGGTTGGATAAACCCCTTGACCCCACAACCCTGCACCCACATGCTTAGAGGAGCCCAGTCTTTAGCAGGACCTCTCCCGTTCTCCCGGCCGGGCGGGGCCCCGGGCTTTATGAGCCGGACCAAAGCGCGCAAGCGGCCCGGCAGCCCACCTTGGATCCAGTTGCCTCGATGTCTCAAACTGGGGGGAACTCCCCATGGGTCTCGGGATCGAAACCACTTTGGGGATGTGAATGAAACTGGGTCCTGCAACCTACATTAATGAACACCCCATCGAAGCAACCTGATTGAAAAACCTCATTATGTTTTCAGCCTGGGTTTCAAAGGTGTTCAAAGGAGGCGTTCTAGAAGGTGCTCAACTCTTGGCTTCCCCATTTCATGGGTACCCTCAAAATACGCCCCGGTATGACCTCTGATGGGTCCAACAGGACCCTTTGGTGGACCTAGCAATGCGGTGGCCATTGATGTCAACCACTTTGGAGGTGGCTCCTGATTGAACTTGACTGGCACGCACCCCTGCCGGGACCCGAAAATGCCGAAGGAAAAAAAGCTTTCAGGGGAAAAGATGTGCATCTTGCAACAGCCTTCAACCACGCCCAGCCTGGAGGTCAAAAGTCCTCACTTTGTGCATGGGGTTTCGCTCTGTTTGGCACAGAGACACATACAGCCGGATGCCCAAGGGGTTGCCCGCGTTCCCCTCTGAGGCAACTGGCCAGACCGAAAAAACGAAACTGGGCCAAAATCAGCCCATGCGAGCGAACTCAACCAAGGTTTGCGCGCGCGGCTTTCGGGCGACGAGGTTTGGAAACCTCTCGCTACGGCTCTCAAGGCGCTGCCAGGGACCCCGTGGTTGGATCCTTACGAAAGGGACTCGCCGCTTTTTGGAGGAGTTTGATTCAAATCAAAAGAGTTGCGCAATGCCATATTGGAAGTAACAAAAAGGTGAACTATTGATTTTGGCATGTCTCAAACTAGGGGGGGCCACAAAAGCTGCGGTTTTCCTCGTGGTCCCTTTAAGCCCCGTGTTTTGCCGGGTTCGTTCCCACACCGATCGTTCCGCCCCGCTCGGCTGCTTTCCGACTTCCCGGCTGGCGCAAAGGTCCCGGAGGTGCCAGGAGTTCAGCACCCCGAAGGGCTGCTGCACCTTGGGTCTTCGGGCTTTGGAATCGGAAGGCAGGGGGTCTCAGACATGTCCAATTTGAGGCGAAATAAAGGGCAACTCTTGGAACTCAATTTTCCAATTGCCATATTTTTGGATAGCCAAATCTGGGATCAATTAAGTATTGGAATTCTTGGATTTCCCTGGTAGACCACCAGGTAAACCAGGTAAACCCTGGTTGGCTTTGGTTTCTCAAATAGTGGTCCCCTAAAGTGGTTGCTTTGCTTTTGGTTTCCCTTTGAATACTCAGTGAAAGAAAGGTCCACCATTTTCAGAGACACTGAACTTGGGCAGGGTGGAAGGTTGACCCCGGATTTGTTGCACCCGTGATTCATGGAGTAATAAACCCCGTGCTGATGAATATGGGGGTGTTCGCCTCCAAAAGAGGTCTGAATGCCCACTAAAACCAGCCCCCCCCCTTTTTATTCACAAACAGAAGTTTATTAATTCGGGGTCAACAGTGGAGGGAAACCCAGAGGAAGACCCAGGAGTTTCTTGTGATCGGTGCGAGAGATGAAGGGAATGAGACATAGAATGACCCTGAAACAAACCATCCTACTGGTGGTTTCCTTTCTTCGGGAATCCCCAGGTTCATTCCAAGTCTCATTCCCTGCTGAGCACCAGCAAGTTGTTGGGGGTCTCCAATTGTCACACATACCGTTTTGGATGTAAAAGGGTGGGGCTAATGAAATCGCAACTTTTGGAGGTTCCAAAAAGGGAAATGGAGGAAACCTGTGTTAAAGGACAAGCAAAAGGAACACTGACCCATTGTTGGGGCCTCCAAGTTTCGGCCAAACCTGAGCGGGTTGAAGGGACACCAATGGAGTCAGTTGCCCAGTACAGGGAGCCAGAAAAGGCCTGGGCCATTACCGACTGGGGCCACACAAAATGGAGGAAGGGGACACCGGTGAGCGGGTCGACTTTAAGCAAGTGAGAAAAGGACAACCTGCCCAATATTTGGCTCCACTTGTCCATTGTTCCCCCCCCCCCGCACAAAAAATGACCCACTCTGGTACCCATTTCCACCAACTTGATGGTGTTTGTTTCTTGATGCTTCTTGGAATTGTTTTGAAGGGAGCCCAAAGGGGTCCAACCCGCTTTGAGACAAACCCCAACTGAGCACGGCTAGTCCATGTCGATGTCTGCCGTGCATCTCCTTCCCCGGCGAGCGGCCGCGACCGGCCGCCGCGCGACTTGTGTTGCGCCGGCGGCAGTGCCACTTGCACAAACCGCAAACCTCCTGCCACACTTGAGTCATAATTAATCAAAACCCGGTAAAAAAGATGGTCTACCCAGAACCATGTAAAGAATAAAAAAGGCGTATCCGCAACCATTGATGGCTGGGATTTGTCCCTACCCTCCAATTACCGAGCTGCTTTTGATTGTGACTCACTTCGAGCTTGAAGTCCAGAGGCTCGGGAACAGTGGACCGACCTTCCAAAGCACAGCTCAGAGTGGCCAGAGAAAAACATCAGCCCAGGTTCTTCAAGACTAAGAAAGCCTTGGGCAAGGACCCCAAAGCTGGGGAACAGGGGGGTTCTTTTGGCCACCTGTGGAAAAATGATCGACCCCTTCGTAGTACTGGATTCCTTTTTGAGGGGGTCGTCCATGCTCTCACAAAAGGTGGCAAAAAGACACCCCTGCTGGAGAGAAAAGCCCGGTGTGTTGTTTGGTGTGTACCCTGTGTGGCGGATTGTTTTCAGGGAAAAGCAGGACAAAACAACAGCCCCCTCCGAACCGACATGGTATGTCTGCAAAAGCAGAAGTTTCCTTTGCAGTGCCCACTGCATGAACAGAACTACCAAACAAGGAAGCGCAACAACATGCCGAGGACGGTATGGTTGTTTGAAAGTAGAACGAAAGGGGGACGGCATGCTAACTTTCCAAATCCTATTTTAAGACACGCCCCTCATGACCCAAATGTGCCTTGGTTAAAGTTACTTGTGTCCCGTAAAGGACATGGAACATTTAGTGAGTGCCCCTGGCATTTGTGGGTCTCCTGTAGACAACAGGACATTTGTACCAAAAGGTCAACCTCACATACTTGTCGTTGCGCGGAGTTGAAATTCCCCGCGTTCAATGCCCATGGATGTCGAAGCCCAACGTGTCCCGGAAGAGATGCAGCAAGGTCGGATTCTGCCGCCAAAAACCCAGCCCGATCTGCGGGCCTATCGTGAGGTCTACCTGCCCCTCTTTTCAAATAGAAAGAACATCATCTGGAATCTCACTGCCAGAGTTGCCAGGCCAAACCATGGATCAAAATGAGTCACCACCAGGAATTGGACCGCAGGTCTTAGTCCATGTTCCTTTGAGGGTCTATTTGGGCAGCTAGACCCACAGCCAGATTTCCAAGTTGTTGCTTGCCCAGGCCATTCCCCAAAAGTATCGCGTCCGGCCCCTCGAGGAGTGAGCCACCGCGTTGGCCATAGGAACTCCCTCCATCAAAAAAGACAACCTAGGTCCTCCAGTAGAGAGATGTTAGAATAAGGGTACCAATCTTTTTGTCTGTAGTCTATTTTAGGGGAAACCTCCCCCCAAAAGGGTGAGAAAGGGCACCTAGCTGGGGGACCTAGCAATGGAAAAAATGGGCACCACCGGGCTGGGCTGATTTTGGCAGTGAGCACAGACCGGGGCCCGCACGGAGATGTCCACTTCCAGGTCCTTCGGGACACGTGAGTGCCGCCCACAAACCGCGAGGCTGAACTTCCCACCCCCACACGAACTGCGCCCCAATCTGACTTGCTAACACAAATTGGGACCTTGATGTTCTTAATCTGCAATTGGTGGTGGGACACAACACTTTTACAGGTTATGCTTTTGATTGGTGCCTGTTTGTACGTGGGAAGCACACATGACGTGACTTTTTGCTGACCTGCAAACCGTGGTTGGTCAATACAGGTGAACAGAATCCCGCAGTTGGGATGCAAACCCCATAACAAGGGAAACATGCATTATCAGCTGGTACGAGCGTTGAGGCTTGATTCTGAACAGATTTGACATGTATTGTATATCCACGTGTCGGTTCCGTACAAGAGATACGGTCAGTAGCCAACAGTTGGTGAGTAAACCGGCACCCGTTCACCAATGAATGCTTGGTATTCTCGCAATGTCATATTCGTTGATACAGTGAACTGAACCTGGCTCTCTTGGCTGGTGGTTTTCAAAGACGTTTAAGTGATGGGTGATTGGGTGACCCTGGGTTCTAAATAAATGGGACGACTGCAATGGGGCGTAATTTCAAGGATCCAGATAGTCAGGGACCCACAGGCCCCTGCAACCAGAAGCAACTCACCTTGTTTTGCAAGGGGGTGAGGTTCCTCTACAAGTTTGAAGTGATACCATATTCCATGAACCATGCAGTCTTCACCCAAAGAATTTGTTTCATCTCTGGATGGGGAATCCTTTCGCTCACAATTTGGCCAACTCTTGCCCCGGAATGCCGCGGGGGATCACCTGAAATGGCGCGTGGTCCACTTCCAAGATCTCAGTTACCCAAAGGATTCAGAAACCAAACGTTAACCTTTTGGGGCCTGACCAAAAAGAGGGAAACTACCACCCCAACAAATGGTCATTCGGTCACTTGACAGACCATTTGCCCGCCACTGCGGGGGGCCTGTTGCTTTCACGAGAGCAAGTCCGGCCTTTGTCTCGAACATCACGATGGGAACTCGCGCTTTTCGAATGATGTTCTGGCGGGCCAAAGTCAACCGCAAGGGATCCCCGGAGCAAGGCTTCGGTGGGGTTCTTGCAATGGCCTACGTTGGGGGGGCTTTCTTGTTTTTCCTTTTTGGGCCTCGTGCTTCCATGAAAAAAAAGAGTACCTTCAAGCACATCCTTGGTCTTTTGCTCTGAACACTTCGGGCCTCTTGTCTTGAAAAGCCAAAGACAACGGGTCTTTTTCAGGGTCCCAAAAAATGGTCCAACCAGAACTCGAAAGCCCAGGGACTCGGGAGACTTTGCGATCTCGGCGCGCTTCGGCCGCTCGAAATCGCCCCGCACTGAAGAGCGGGGATCCCGGGGAAAAAAAAAAAAAAAAACGTCCCAAGAAGGCAGGCGCGGAAGTTCCATGTGCTGCGTGCCATGTGCTTTTCTCGCAGTTGCCCACAGGGTCCAAGTACTCCATCTTAATGCTCTCACTTCCTGAGTTGACGGGCCAACAAGAGTCCAAGTTGACTTGTTGACTCTTAAATTGCCTTCCCAACAAGTTAAAAGCCCATGAACTCAGCAAGTGAGAGTTTGTTGGTTTGGTTTTGGGGGACTTCGTGAAATACAGACTCATTTGGCCATAGTCAGTTTCCATTGTCACTCCCACTGACATGGGAATTAGGTGGGGTTACTCAGCACATCCTCATGGTACCTGAGGCAATGGCCCATGTCATCGCCTTTTTTGTTGACGGTAAATATAAACCGCTCGTCCAGCTTCTGCTTTTCCTGCGGTAACAGGGTTTGATGTCTGTCCATTTCACACCTTCCTTCAGCCAACAGGACCTCCTTGGGAGTCCGTTGCCACCAATTCATTTCAGCTAAAAATCGTCCCTTTGGCTTGCCAGAGAGTTCTGGTGGGCTTCCCCCAGGTCTCCTTGAGGTGGCTCGTGCCTGGAGCCTTCCAGTCATTTTTGGTATTTCTTTCGACCCACAGGTGGTGTTCTCGTCTTCAAGGAGCAAAGCCACCTACCTGCAACCCCTGACAAGCTCCACAAAACAGACCCTCTGCGCTGCCACTCTGCTGAAGAGCACACCAAGCCTCCTGTACCACGACTAAAATTGGCATAACCAGCACCCAAACCGCACACTGATAACCGAAATGGGTTTGAATCGTGCCTCAAGTCAAAGGGAAAAAGGGAATGTCGTGCTGGGTCTCCTTTCTAACGACACCGTCTTGCTTTTCAACTATCTGTTGAAACAAGAACCAGCGCCATCAGCAAGGCCCAAACTCGTTTTAACTATAGGGATATTCATTTCAAAGAACCTTCTGAAGATACGTGACACACAAAATCATTGGGTTGCAGTACCCCGTTTGTTCAGTGACATCCGTTAATCCCTTTTGGTTTGGTGGGTTCCCCACTTGAAAACGGAATGAACGCCAGAAAGGAATGAGAAGGTCCTATAAGAGCCTTTTGGATCTGGAAAGCCCGGAACCTTGGCACAGCCTGCCTTGACTGTGACGCTCGGCTGAGACTGGAGCCACCTGCCGTGTTTCAGCTGACGGGGTGAACGCTTTTGCGTGGGATTGGCATAGCCTGCAAAAGGGCGACGCCACATGACCCAACGTTGCAAAGTTCAATCTGGAAAACAGCTCAAAATAATGCAAGGCAATACATTTATGGAGGTTTCCAAGCAATACACACACGCAATGATTTGGGAGAAAGATAAGTAGCTACCGAAAGATCCCAATCGTAAACAGGCGTTCCCCCACCAACCTGTATGGGCCCAAGATTCAGTCCAAACGTGAGGGCCTTATGAATTCCCCGCTAAAATAAGCTCACCTCCACGACATCATCTCTCGTTGACTCATCACATGGCAACAGCCAGCACCAGCTGCTGACCTCTTCAACATCTTCGCGTAAGGTTTCCTCAAGCACTAAGCCTCCTGTTTGTGATGCGCATGTAAAGGTGCTTTTAGATACACAAGTATTTTAGGTATACATGTCCACCCACTCTTGAGATAGTTCCCATGAAAACTCAGAGCCATGCTACTATTCCTACAAGTTACACGGCTCGGGGGCCCGCAACTAGGAAGCAGGACGAAGCGTCTCGAAACATTGGACAGCCCCCTGCCAGAACCCTTTGAGTCAATCGGTACCCACAAGGGCTCACACAAGGGCTCAATTCAGGTACAAATGGACAATCCTTGAAGGGTGCTGGCGGGCTTTGAAACGTTTGAAAAGGTCTCGGGACGCTTCGCATGAAATTCCTGAAGCTGAATCAAGGACCCCAGGACATGTCAAAACTCCCCAGACACATAGTTGCTTGCGACCCAACCCTAGAAGTGCCAAACACATGCGCTTGGCCTTTGGAAGGATGGTTCCAACTCGCAAGCCAGACGCTCGCCATTGTCCTGCCATCTGAGGAACGTGTGGCCTGAGTGCGCCTCCGCGCAACCAGTGGGGTTCGATTGCAAAGCCTTGTGTGTGTTGCAGCTTTGTGGAACTTGTCTGGGGTGAACTGCAGGACGCTCCAGCCAAGGGGAGCATGCAATCCAGAATCCCCGCGGCATCGTACGGCCTTGCCAGGAAAGACCAGGCAGATCTAGACTCTAGACTGGCCCGCGGCTCATTCATGTTGTCAGCATCTGCCACAACACAAGCCATATGTTCTTGATCCTCGCAAAGAATGCACATCTGGCTGTGTATCACGGAGTCCTTACCGAATCAAATTGACTTGCTTCCGATTTCCGCTTCCTTCTAAATCCATCCCAGAATGAGTTCCTGGTGCAAAATCGGGGAACGATCCCCCAGCAAGGCTCCCCAGCAAGGAACTTCCCAAAACCCAAAACCCATGGACCTTCGGCTCTACTCGTTCTGGGTTCTTTTCTTGTGAAAATGTTGGTTTCTCGAAAATTGGGGACCAATTCCTCCAGGTGGTTTCAATTCCTTCTGGTTTCCTTCTAAATCATCCAAAAAGGAGTCTGATTCCTTTTTGTGTTAAACCCCCATATAGCTTTTTACCACAAGCCCTGCCAAAACCAGGGTGGTCACTGAACTGGGCCAGGGCCCAGGGGTTTGGGGCGCATGATGCTTCTACAACTCTAGTGACCTGTGCCCGCACTGGGTTCGCGGAATCCTCAAAACGATCCAAAGGGCAATTTTGAGGATGTCACTTCCCTGGACGCAGCTTGTGGTCGCATCTTTTTGTTTGCCCTTCTCAAAGTCACCTGGGTGAGGTGACAGAGATCCCGATGTCTCAAGATTTA